TTCAATACAAATTACCGCTAAATCTTTAACCAAAATTACCTCCTTTGCTCTCCCGGTCCCCTCTAATCGCTATCCTCATCATCATCATCATCACTGCCAACCACCTCGTCCTCATCATACTCGTCATCATCCCCATCAAGATCATTCACGAGATACACCCCGGGCTCCTGCGGGCCCCTTCGCCTCGTCCTTAAAGGTAGAATGTTCTCCAGGTCAACTTCAACTAGCGGATCGTCGCAGAAATCGTTGTCCTCGCCATTGCCATTCTCGACACCATCCTGGTCGAAATCCGAGTCGGAGTCGAAATCCGAACCCTCCTCCTCTTCAATTACCATCTTGCCCTTCCCCTTCTCCAAAACCCTAGCCTTTTGCTTCTGATCCTCATCATCGTCGCCTTCTTAGAGATCGATTTCGGGATTCTTTGGCTTCTTGGGCTCGCCCTGCACAATGCAGTCGAGGTTGGGCTTGTGCTTTTGGGAGTGGGGACTGCGGTACGAGCACATCTGGACGAAGAGGGTGACGGTGGAGCCGTAGGGGGTGAAGGTCCTCTTGTTGAGGTTGGGGTTAGGGTTAGGGGGCCCCCAAATTTAGGGGGCCATGTGCGGTGGATCAGCCCGCACACCTTCAGAACCGGGCCTGGTATGGATCCCGTCGGGTCGATCTCGGAGAGAGAGATCTGAGAGGAGAGATAGAGGAGAGAGGGAGAGTGGGGCATCATGGGTTTGGTAGACAAGGAGGGAGCAGATAAGGGCAGGCAGATATTTTTGGGGTTAGGGTTTTTTTCCGATGGCGGGGGGAACCAATGAAATTTTTTGGGGGGAACCAATGAAATTTTGGATGCGGCGCGGGGCGTGAATCGAGTGATAGGGTTTGGTTTTTTTATTATTGAATCGAGTGGTAGGGCAGGGTCACCATATACCTTAAACATTATACATTATGTCAAATAGGAATAAGAGATTTCATTACATGTTTGGTTTAATCTATTTTCAGAAGTCAATATTATCTATTAACATAATCTAATTTCAGAAGTCTGAAATAAATGTATATTCAAAAATCGTAAATTGTTTAAATCTTATAAGATTTGTGAGCAATCCTTTATCAATGGGATCCCTTTGAACCTGAATAAATATTAATTGATTTTTAATCTTCATGTGAATTGTGCAAAAACCTATAAAAAGGAACCATCAACCAGACAAACCAAATCCTTATTTCTATCCATACTAGAGCTTTACCTCGTGCTGGACATTTATTCAAAAAAAAAAATCTAAATTGACCCACAATTGTTGACTTGTATATGGACATTTGTTAGACCACTGATATTAGAGGCATGCTCTTTTCTTTGAGTACCCGCCTACTTTTTACCCAAATTCCCACTAAAATTTTCGCCAACGAATAATGAGGATATTATTATTTCCTCGCTGATTGGTTTTTTAACAAGAAAATGATTTTTCGCGAAACAAAATCTTTTAGCGAGGAAGACTTAAATTTGTCGCCGTTGAATTTGGAGGGTTTTACACATTTTTCTACCAAACTAATAATGTGAAAACTATTATTTCCTCGCTAATTGATTCTTTTAACGAGGAAAGGGTTCCTCGTAAAACAAAAAAAAATTAGTAAGGAAACATTCAATTTGTCGTCAATGAATTTAGCGGGTGTTGCACATTTTTCCACCAAATTAATAATGAGGAAACTATAATTTCCTCGCTAATAGGTTCTTTTTGACGATAAAACGGTTTCTAGTAAAATAAAAACTTTAAGCGAGGAAGCCTTAAATTTGTTGCTATTGAAATTGGCGGGTTTTGCACATTTTTTTGCCAAACTAATAATGAGGAAACTATTATTTTCTCGCTAATTGGTTTTTTTAACGAGGAAACAGTTCCACGTAAAACAAAAATTTTAGCGAGGAAACCTTAAATTTGTCATCAATGAATTTGGCGGGTGTTGCAAATTTTTCTACCAAACTAATTGTGAGGAAACTATAATTTCCTCGCTAATAGGTTCTTTTTAACGAGGAAACAGTTCCTCGTAAAAACAAAAACTTTTAGCGAGGAAGCATTAAATTTGTCACCATTGAAATTGGTGGGGTTTTTTTTTCCCGCCAAACTAATAATGAGGAAACTATTATTTCCTCGCTAATTGATTCTTTTGATGAGGAAACAGTTCCTCGCAAATTATGGATCTTCAGCGAGGAAATCATATTTTATCGATGTTACATTTGGCAGGGTTTCCTCTATTTTCTGCCAAAAGAGCAACGATGAAATGCTTATTTCCTCGTTAAGCGTGCATTTCGCGATGAAAAAGTTCATCACCAAAATCTCATATTTCCTCGTCAATAAAATAACTAGTTAGAATCTCATATTTCCTCGTCAATAAAATAACTAGTTAGGAGACCAAATCATGATCATCTTTAGTGAGGAACTAAAATTTTCATCGTAGTAGTTAGGAGACCAAATCATGATCATCTTTAGTGAGGAACTAAAATTTTCATCGTAGAAGGTGGTCTACTATGAGGAAAATATATTTCTCGTAGAAGACCTACTGATATTAACCGAGGAAACAAAAATTTCCTCGTCGAAAGTGATATTTGTTGAGGAAAATAATTTTCTCGCAAAAAAGTTGGTCGCTAAAAGGCCTGTTTGTTGTAGTGTTCTGTGACTTAGTCTCTAGCTTGTCCCTAACATGGTCACTAATATGAACATAAGCTACGCAACCAAATACCCGCAAGTGTGAGAGATTTATCTTTTTTCCACTCTAAATTTTCTCTGAAATCCTAAAATCCAATGGAACTGATGGCCCATGATTAATAAGGTAAGTCGTCGTATGCACCACATCCGCCCAAAATATCTTAGACAGACCTGCATGTAATCGCATGCTCCTGGCACGTTCCGTTAAGGTTCTGTTCATACTCTCTGCAATGTCGTTCTGTTGTGACGTCCCTGGAATAGTCCTCTCTAAGTGAATACCATTCGTAGCACAGAACCTCTTGAACTCTTTCATCTCGTATTCTCCACCATTGTCTGATCTCAGACACTTTACCTTCAGATCTGTCTCGTTCTCCACCATGGCCTTCCACTTCTTGAAGACTCTGAACACCACTGACTTGTGCTTCATGAAGTAAATCCACACCTTCCTCGAGTGATCGTCGATAAAGGTGATATAGTATCTCGAACCGCCAAAAGAAGATACACTGGCTGGACCCCATACATCTGTATAAATCAACTCTAGCTTCTGAGCCTTAGGTGACTTTTCACCCTTCTGAAAACTAACCCTCTTCTGCTTCCCAAAGATGCAGTCTTCACATATCCTGACTTTCACGGAGTCGATCCCGGTTAGCTTTCCCTGTGAATGTATGATCTTCATCCCCTTCTCTCTCATGTGCCCTAGCCTGTTGTGCCATAGATATGTACTCTCTTTACCAGCTACAATTGCAAGGGTGTCACTCACATGTGAGGTGAGATAGAGAGTCCCTAATTTGTTGCCTTGGGCAACTACCATTGTGCCGTTAGAGATTCTCTATGAACCCCCTGTGAATGTCAAAATATAGCCTTCTGTTCCAAGCTGTCCCACTGAAACAAGATTCCTCTTCAGCTTCGATACATGTCTCACGTTCTTCAAGTTCCACTTAGAGCCATTCATCTGAATCTGTACATCACCTTTTCCAACAATATTACAGGGCTCATTGTCCCCCAAATACACTTTTCTAAAGTCCTCTGCTACATAATTCTGAAGAAGCTTCTTATTAGCAGTGGCGTGGAAAGAGGCTCCTAAGTCGATGACTCAAGAATATGAATCGCTGTCCATAGCAAGGATCAAAGCATCTTGCACGATATGAGCCTCCTGCTTACCCGTATTCTTCTTTGGACTCTTACAAATTGAAGACATATGACCATTCTGGCCGCAGTTCCAACACTTTCCTTTGATAGGCCTAACCTTCAAGTTCGACCTCTTCTTCACTGAATTCGACCGATTTTTGTTCTGGTTCCCTTTCTTCTGGCTTCTGCCTCTCTGCTCGAAGTTTAGGGCTGAACCTGAATCTTCTGATTCGGACGCTTTTCTTCTAACCTCCTCAGATAAATTCATACTGACCACCTCACTCAGCTTCAACTTTTCCTTCCCCGCCGAATTGATGATTGTCGTTACACAACCTGCCTAACTATCCGACAACTGCGATAAAAGTAAAAGGGCCCGCACTTCGTCATCGAATGTGATGTCTATGGAGATAAGCTGACTAACAATCGTGTTGAACTTGCTGAGGTGCATCGTGAAGAACCGTCCTTCTGCCATCTTGAGGTTGAAAAGAATTTTTACCAGATGCACCTTGTTTGCTACAGACGGTTGCTCGTACATCTTCGTGAGCGCTTCCATAAGCCCTACCATCGTCTTCTCTTTCAAGATATTGTGGGGTACTGTCATGGCAAGCGACAACTGGATTTTTCCTAGAGCCTTCCTATCCAGTATCTCCCAATCATCCTCTGACTCCTCTTTCTTCTGTCCCTTATCCTTGCCCATCAACGGACGATACATGTCCTTCTGGTACAGATAATCCTCTATCCGCGACTTCCAGCAGGCGAAGACTGAACCGTCAAACTTTTCGATCTTAGATTTGATTTCCTCTGTCATGGTTTTCTCATAAATTGCTGAACGAAGCTCTGATACCAGTTATTGAGGGTTCGAAACAATCAAATCGAACCATTACCCTTCCGGACCTTGTTAGAAAGTTGAGCAAGAAAGAAATTCACCACAAATCAAAGATAAAAACTTGCAGAAATAAGAACAAGGGAGAATACACGAATTTAATGAGGTTCGGCAACGTGCCTACGTCCTCGGGAGCCACACCATACAATCTCTTTGATTAATTGAAAAAGGAATACAAGCACTCAAACAAGGGATTAATCTCTCTGAGATTCTCTCTCATTTCTCTTTCTGATGGTTTTTCACGTTCTCATTAGCCCTAGAAAACATATAGATATATATATGAA